ACATTTATTTGGCACGAATGTATTAAAAAAAAACAGTTTTTTGGCTGTTGTTATAGAAACGGTGGGCCAGAATTTGTTTTCAGATTTTACAACCTAACTAGAATGAAGGTGTGAATTGCCTGCCATTTTGAACCAAATCGGCTCAGCCAAAAAAATCACAGAAGAGTTAAAAAGCCATTCCCGCTGAACAGTTACCTTTCTCAGTAATGGAAAAAGATATCAAAAATTCAAATAGTAACATTGTGCCCACACTCAAGCTGAGTAGAATGAGCTCTGTCCGAGGCGTTTTATCCCAAATTTGTAGGAGAAGATACATTTGGAGCGAAGCTATCCGAAAAACAGTTTCTTGGCTGTTGCTATGGCAAAGGTGGGCCACATTTTTTTTACAGATTTTTTCTAATAACTAGGATGAAGGTGTGACCTACCTGCCAAGTTTGAGCGAAATCGGCCAAGCCAAAAAAATCGCAGAAGAAATAATACGTGAACAAACTGGAAATCACACAGACACACACACAACCCCGCAAAAGTGATTATAAGGGCAATCCTAGCGGAGCGGATCGCCAACAAACCATCATTTTTTGGGGGGTGTAACACTACAGTTTAATGTTTGTTGAATGACAAATTGTCAAAGTATGGGATTTATATGGGGAAATGCGACTGTGCGCCATACAAATGCGAATGTAGAATGTGTATCCTGGCTTGTAATTGTTTATATAACAAATTTGTCGACAAATTGTCAAAGTATGGGATTTATATGGGGAAATGCGACTGTGTGCCATACAAATGTAGAATGTGTATCCTGGCATGTAATTGTTTATAGAACAGTTTCACATTTATTGCACACGTATGTGATGTCTGATCTGTTTAATTTGTGAAGTAGATGCATGTAATGAACTAAAACTATAATGGCTTCTCAGAACATGTCTAATTATTACCACGCGATGTAGGGAATTTTAGAAGGCTAATAAAGCAGTACGATGACTGACAACTGGTCGTGCTATACTATTGATTATAACGTTTCCTGGGCATGTTTTTCCATATAAAGTGCATTCTTTCGGAGAGTATTATGTTGCCGAGGAAACGTATTCAAACTGTCGCTTGATAGGTTCTGTCGCATTATTCAAGTGATGGAAGTCTCCATTACATCCTGCTCAAGTACTGCGGCCATATGGTCCTGCTTCCGCGCTGTGTTTGGGGTTAATCCACTCTCTATTCACGCTAAGTAAATGTTTCTATCCGCTATTTTATTGGCTGGATTTCCATTCATATATTAGTGATATAACGTGAAATACTTTAGCAATGAAATATCTCGTCCAGGGTTAGTGCTGTGTATATTATCATATTAACATAATATCTAAGCCCTTTCGATCCACTAGAATTGTCTTTCTCTCATCGAAGAAATGAAATAGGGTGTTATGTAAGCCTATTTTGATAGTGAAGGAGTCTTAAAAGGGGTCGCACGCATACTTCAATATACGAATGTATGTATTATATCAATGTGTTAAGTCTTTGTCACCATAACTGTCATTCATGTATGCAAACAAACCGGTGATTTGAAGTGATAATATACGTCTTTATGGAACAAGATGAGCCCAAGATTGAAATAAATGATGCTCGACTTGAAAAGAAAACTTGTGCCGTTAAAAGGGTTCGAAATAGTTCATCCTCCATCTCTCTCCTTTTTTTCATCTTCATCTTCAATTCAGCAACACGAGATAATCATCTTAACGGCGTCACTGGTGACGTCATACTAAAATCAGGCGTGCTTTCACGAGTCAAAGATTAATCATATACTAGTGTATACTCTAGAACAACCAACATGATTGATTAACATGCCATCGTCTTCTGAGGAATAAACAAATGGTTTATTAAAGTTGAGGAATTCATCCACAATTTAATTGAGCACAGGTTTTCTGAATAATGCGAGTGTATATATGTGTGGATTGTTCGGTTTTGTTTGTACGACATGAGTATAAACCTATTGCTTGGAAATTATGTCAAAACAAATCCTAGTCGTATGTCAAAGTGTGAAAGGTCACAGAAAGATAAAATGGTC